TATAAATTGAAAAAATAATATCTACGGAGGATTCAAACTCACCTATTTCAATTTTTTATTAAATTTAGTTTCACCATGGAGTTCAAAAATAGTTTTCATTATTTTGTAGGGGCGATTTTGATATTTGTTTGGAGATTTCCAAGGAATTTAATATTCAAATTTGTTAACTGATGCCTTTCCAGGCTAACTAGGTACCATAATATTCCCTCGTACGTTTTTATTGATGAAATAAAAAAATTGTACGTTATATTTCATATACCATATTTCTATTTTTTAGGTATAAGATGTTGGTTCATGTTCGCACCCACACAAACGAGAAACCTCACAAATGTTTTCAATGTGAAAAATCATTCTCCAGAGCAGAAAACTTAAAAATTCACTCTAGATCCCACAGCGGCGAAAAGCCATACGTATGTCCTGTATCCGGTTGCAATAAGGCCTACTCGAACTCTAGTGATAGATTTAAGCATACAAGAACCCACCAAGTCGATAAACCATATCAGTGTAAAGTGCCCGGTTGCCCGAAAAGGTATACAGACCCAAGCAGTTTAAGAAAACACGTGAAGACGTACAAACATTTCGTTATTGAGAATCAAAAAAACGAAAATACTCCTACCGTTGATGCAAATATTGTTGAAAATAAAGTGGAAGTACCTAATGTTGAACCCATGTTTCGAGAAAACGTCATCAGACATCCTTGTGACTGCAATAGAGTATGTTGTATTACAAAGTGTGTTACCAGTAGATCTGAACTATTTAGAATAGGAAATTTGATTAATCTGAAAGAATCGGAAAAAAGTACGTGGAATAGCTATGTAGATCCATTTGTAATAGAACAAAATAATGTATATGCATCTTATGAAGAAAGTATGCAAATTGATGTACCTCTAGATTTGAGTTTGCATAGAAAAGATTTTTAAGACTGTTTTTGTTTTGGATTCACTGATATTTTAGATTTTACATTGCATTTTTTATTTTTTACTTATAAATATGGCAATATTGAAATGTGATATTAATATAATTATTTATGTGTGTTCTGTAAACCGTTTTTAATAAAAAAATATATTTACGTAAACTTTGTTTTTTTATGGAAATTATCTATGACTAAAACGCATATTTCTGTTATAAACAAAAATTGCGAAATATAAAAGGAAATATTTTTTTTAATAAACAATGAAAAAATTGCAACAATATGATCTTTACCCCGACAAAATGTAAATATTTTCATTTTATGACAGGTCTACCTAAATTTTTTCCGCGATTTTTTTCGTTAATCTTTTAAAAATACTGCAATAAAAGACCATAATGTTTACACATATCTTACAGGTAATAAATATACCCTATTAAGTGATATGCTGTACATAAACTTTGAATGTTATCAATTCTACACTCTAGATGCCAAAATAAATTTATAGATATTATATTGTGTTGAAAAGGGGGTGTTAATATACTGCGACCTAAAAGATATATTGTGTCCCCTTTTGTAGCTAATGCAGCAAGGAAATATCTCGATGCCTATAACGACCCTTCCATTCTTATCTTCTCAAGGAAGTGCAAGATTTGATAGCTTATCTATTATCTTTGATCCTCTGACAGGATAGGTCATCTATTCCGACCCTGAGGATTTGGCTTTTGCCCTCGTCTTTTCTACTGACGATCTTTCATTATGGTCGATAGCCCCACAATCTGTGCTTATATTAAAAGTTTCTCTACAGTCTGCTCTTGACTTCAGGAGAGAAAGAGTGTGACAGTAAGTTCTTTCGGGATATCGTCTCCCGCACATACTTCCAGCTCCACTCCCTTCCACTTGCTCAGGTGTGATATTTTTGCCCTGAGCCATTCTGATGACTGTGGGGTTTCACAGTCGATTAAGACCATTCCTGACCGGAAGTGGGTGTCTCCGACTTAGATCTTATGCTCCCATCCAGCAAACACTTGTTCTACTATGGCTTCCTCCAGTAGGGTTTGTTCGTTCGCACTGAGGATAGTCTCAGGAAATCCCTTAGGTAGGATCGCGACCCGCTCCGTCTTGACGACAGTTATATAACTGTCAGAAGCGGAGGTAGCGGCCACTTTTCTTTTCGTTTCTTTGGGGTGGTGTGACGTTGCTCCCGTCTCGCTTTCTTTTCAGATCCTTGGAATTGGTTTAACTTCCCTATCCCTGGGATTTATGCTTCACTGCTTTTTTTCCCTTGCTCCGGTGTCATGCCCTGATCGTGGTAGCGAATATACCATCCTACCCCTGCCTGTTATCTCTGCCCCTGCCCCACTGAGTCCACGCCTCAGTGAGTAATCCCTTCCACCAAGTTGTCCTAGCTGAGGTAGGGGAGATAGCTTCCATTTATATGCTTTTTTGAGGGGAGCTTGCCTCGACGATGAGTGGTGAGCGGAGGATGAAGAAGATGGAGTGGTGATGCTCCTCTTTTCTTTTTCTTTCACTTCTTTCTTTTATTCTCCCATTTGTTTCTTGTGAGGTTGGGGGAGGTTGAACGTTTCGGATGGCAGGCTCCGTTCGATCAGTTTCGGAGGCGGTGTGATATTGGTGTGATATTTTAAATTCTTGCCCATATAAATCCCACGGCACGTTACCTTACACCTTAGCTTAGGTTATTGGTGTAATGTCATTCAGTTAGTTAATAGTGTTGTTCCTAGAGCAGCAATATTGACGAATACAGCGGTGCCACGAGGAGGCAGGCAGTTGATGAGTGCATTTGTCTACCGGCTTGCAGAAAGAGTTATCTTCAAGCAGACAAGCAAGCAATCTAATCTACAATCTATAACCATCCCCGCCATCTTTAAGAATTATGAGGACCTGGATCTAAAAGATGAATTAAAAAGAGAATTTGTAGGTACAGTGACCTACCTAACCCCAGTAACTTCACAATAATGTATTGATTCCAGTTTTATTAAAGAAAATTAACATTTATTTTATATTAAAATTCCTTCATTTCAAAGAACAATCTTCTAGATAAATTCTATATTATTTTACGATGTGTAATGCTTTCGAACCGGGAGTTTTTTAGGCGAGGACTTTTTGTGCTTGCGCTTTCGTGCGCCTTCCGTTTAGTGCGTATGTGCTTCATTCACTTCCTGGGTACCTATTTGAATGTGAGATTCACCATCAGATTTTAACAAAAGTCATCAAATTTTGCATGTCATTTAATTGATATAAATCCGTTTACTTTTTGAAAACTTTTGTTGTAGTCACTTTTCATCAAGTCAAGACTGGATGGAACTAGCACAAGAAGACATATACCTCTCCAAAAGAAGTTTATGGAAATTCAAACAAATATAAATCCAAAAAAAGGATTTGACCTCATTACCGGAGACATTTTGAAAATGCTTCCACGGAAAGCTATTGTCAAAATAACCAATCTCATCAATGCATCTTTTAGTTACACTAAAGTACGTATCAAAGATGAGGAAGGTGGCAAAAGTTATGACATAAGCCAGGTAAACTTCCTCATGAAGTTACATCGTACAAATCCATATCCTTGTTACCTGTTATCTTGAAACTATATATAAAAAATTGCCTTTTCAGAGATTAAAACCTATAATAGAAGAAAAGGACCTACCCTCCCACCAGTTTGGCTTCAGAGAAAAACACTCGACCATTAGTTAAGTTCATAGAATAGCAGAATCAACGAGAAGTCCCTAGAAGAAAAAAGTTTTGAAAAAGTATGGCATGAAGTCCTGATTCAAAAACTGAACATGTTTCTGCCACGTCAATACTCTGAACTAATAAAATCCGATTTATTAGAAAGATATTTCATAATTAAACAGGAATAAGCCTATTCCGACCTACGATAAATGAAGGCAGGAATACCTCAAGGTACTGTACTAGGTCCAGTACACTACTTGTTGTACCTATACCAAAAATTTTCCTAATCTTGACTCCAATATACCATCGCAACATTTGCTGATGATAGAACAGAAGTAAAAGTTGGAAAGGCTTTTGCCAGTTCTCCCACTTTATACACATAAATTGACAGGTTTGCAACGGATCTCACCGAAGTGGACGCGATACATTGGCGTACAAAATTATTTTATAAATGCTAATAACAATTTCGAGTAAATAGTTTAATAAATTGTGAATAGCTGTTGAAATTTTGTAAAATTATGATTTGAATATTATAATACATGTTTAATAATTATTTATAGTCCATAAATACATGCGATTGTCCGGTTCCGCTGATAACAATTTAAAATTACTTATTTTATGAAACGACACTGGCAGGTAAACATTACTGCGAAATTCTCGAAGCCGTCCGACGTAGTTTGACATTTACCCCCTCTCTACCTACCAAAAGCCTTTATAAACTTTTACTTTCTCTATACTGCAATCTTTGCTGTTGGAAAAAATCACGGAGACGATAATAGAAAATTGCAAAAATCTATAGACCAGATTAACATCTGTACAAAAAGATGACAAATCTGTTCATACCAACTTCAGCAATATTAAAATGAATATATTCCTATTAGAATGAGATTTCTTTTGCCAATACATACAGCAAAATATCTGGGTATGACACTTGATGTTAAACTTTGCTGGAAAGTCCATATTAAAAAAAAAAAAAACGTGAATAGCTCGGTATACAATACAAAGGAATGTATTGGTTGCTGGGAAAAAAATCCAAACTATCCACAAACAAACAAAAAACTACTTCTTTACAGGCAGATATTGAAACCCGTATGAACGTATGGTACCCAGCTTGAGGGCTGTGCCAGTAAAAATAAACATCCACGTTGATCAACGTTTCCAGAATAAAGTATTAAGAAACATCGTCGATGCACCCTGGTACTGTCGCAATACTGATCTTCATAGAGACCTTAAAGTGGAAACGAAAACACAATAGAAAAATTTGCCAGTAGTCAATAAAAACGACTGTCCCAACATGGGAACGTTGAGGTTATCCAGCTCCTCAACAATGCCAATCTAATAAGAAGACTATTGAATTAATTCGGTGATATTAGATAAAAGCAGAATAATGATGTTTAGTGTTATACGTTAATAGTAGTGTAACTAAATAATTAGACTCTTAATATTAATATTAAAATATTGGTCTTGTAAATCAAATTTAAGATATATTCTTCTAAAACTTCAGATATAGAAAATCTCCTATCTTTCATCTCCAAAATTAAAATTTTAAATAAAACTAATATCTGATATTACTTTAATTATACCTTTATTATTTATAAATACACTAATTTTTATTTTTTTAAACCATCCATTAACCTGCGGATTAATTTTATTATCCCAAACAATTTTAACAGCATTTTTATTAGGAATAATAAATTATAATTTTTGGTATTCATATATTTTATTTTTAATTATAGTTAGAGGATTACTTATTTTTTTTTTATTTATATAACTAGAATTGCATCTAATGAAAAATTTAAATTTAATAAAAATTTAATAGTAATTATAATTTTAGGATTTTCTATAATTATAATATTAATTGATCAATTTTATTTGAATTATTTTATAAACATTCAAGATATAAAAAATATAAATATAAGCCCTAGAAATATAAATTAATTAAAAAAATACTTTAATTACCCAAATTCTTATTTAATAATTATAATAATTACTTATCTTTTTATTACACTAATTGCTGTAGTTAAAATTACTAATAACTCTTACGGGCCTCTTCGACAAAAATTTTAATGAAAGCACCAATTCGAAAAAACAATCCATTGATTAAAATCCTAAACTTTACCCACACCTTCTAATATTTCCACTATATGAAATTTTGGATCTTTATTAGGCTTATGTTTAATAATTCAAATTATCACTGGAATTTTTTTAGCGATATATTATTGCCCTAATATTGAATTAGCATTTAATAGAATTGCCCACATTTGTCGAGATGTAAATTACGGCCGATTAATACAAACCTTACATGCAAATGGGGCTTCATTCCCCCGTCATGTTTAACGAAGATTAAATTACTAAACGAAGATTAAAATGACATATTGTTAATGTATAAACGTTATGTTAAACTTCGCTTAGGACCGATTCCACCGCGCGGTGTTAAACGAAGTTTAAAATGACATTTTTACATTAACAATGTCATTTTAATCTCCGTTTAACACAACGGTGGAATCGGTCCTAAGGTACAGTGAGTAGATAATTTAGGTTATAATAAAATTGTTAATTGATCTTAATGATCAGATTGTAATAATCGTAAATGTTTTATTTGGGGCATTTATTAAAAATGCTCGCCGTATTTTATATCATAGGTAGTTCTTATATTGTTCATAAGGTACCGTCCATAGGTACCGTCAGACCCGCTATAGTAGCGGTGGGTGCGGTCGTGAGAGGCTGCCAAACATGTTGAATGTGGAGAAAAGTTTTCCGGTAAGTTATTTTGTGCACGCTGAAAATTGTTCAGTTTATTATTGACACACTTATACTTCATAGAAAAAATTCGTCTGACGCTTGTCTGCGGGTGGAATGCGCGTCAGTCGAGCGTATGAACTTTTGGAAATGGAAAATGATGTAATATTATGCAGGTTGAAATTCATAGAGGTCTAGTATTTAATTTACATAACATGAAAATAATCGTCAAACGCCACAAGACTGGTGGAAATGCCGTCAGTTAGGCCTCCGAAGTGTAGCGCAGCGTTTGAACGCATTAAGCACGCGGCATAATATATCGAGGTCCAGCTAACAAGTGTTCTGTGCAGCGGATGGAATTTCCTACCACTCTAATCACGGAGACTACACATCTCCATGACTCTAATGCTGACTGATGATTATATTCATGATATATAAACTTTAAAATACCACCTAAATAAATTTCAGGCTACATACCATGATTTTTATGGTATTAATCGAAGACACAGAATTAATATTTAATAGTCGATAGCATTTAGAATTATATTATTTGTAATTGTCACATAATTATGATGGTAGCCTCGCATAATTAATATACAGGGTATCCCATTACAACGTAATTGCTCGATAATACAAACGCAAACTAATATTAAGCAAAAGTTACATGGATTTGAAAAAGGCATATTTTCAAAATATGTTTGGATATACAGGGTTCTGCAAATAACAATGTATTTTTTTTAAATTAAATATACCTTATGTATTATTTCAGTTTTAGAATGCTCTGGTAATACTTACTAGGTCTTTTCCTTTGCATCGAAAGTGTAACACTGAGCTACGTCACTTCTGAAAATATCGTTCCATCCATACAATTTGTATATATGGAACGATATTTTCAGAATTGGTGTAGCCCAGTGCTACACTTTCAATGCAAAGGAAAAGACCTAATGTATTCAACTTTAAAATATTAAAAAAAAAAATAATACAAATTGCCAAGCATTTAATTTTTATTAACAAATCAGATAAAATTACCATAATTTAGGTAGGTGAGGAATGATTTCAAAATTGTTTAAATTACATACTTATAAAGTACAAAGCTAATGTATATAGTGATAATAAATCTGGTTCATTTTATACGGAGTGTTTTTAAACCTGTTGTTAAGTCTTCACTTATTTAGTATATGTTCGCAAGGGTATTTAAATGAATAAAAAAATGAAAATATTCCTTTAAAAAAATGTCAAGGATGTCGGGAAAAAAACTGAGTTTCATTCAATGTCCGGCGTTTTCAGGTTTTTGTCCGGCGTTGGCAATTTAGGTGAAGGCAGGCCTAGCCTCAGTCTCTATAACAAATAAGATGAGGAGCCCTGGGGGTAGAGGTTGCAGTACTTAGTTTTTTTATTAGTACTGAAATAAAACTTGGGTTTCATCTTTGTTATATCTATCTTAGTAATTCTATATGTTATTTTGAAACTAATCAGATTTAAAATAAACCTATTATTGATTAAAAAAAAAGAATAATAATATGAAAATGATGTTTATTAATAAAAAATAAAGCAATTAATTATGTTATTCACTCATATCTTCTTCTTCTTCACTAGTAACATCTTCTTGATCAGCTTCTGATTCACATTTTGGACATTGGCAGACAAAAAGATAGTTCCTCATTAACTCTTTCATCCTGGAATGTCTCGACCTATTTAAAAAACACTCATCAAGGTAACTGATGAAGATCTCTTCACCTTCTTCAATATCTTGAGTTGCCACTAAAGAGAGCCTGTGATTATTGTGGAGAAATTTTGGTTCAGCATTAGGGGAACAGCTGTGATTGCAGGTACTTTGTAGACTGTATAAAGCCACTCCTTCATTATTAAGAAACTCACCAACATTCTCATCCATTTGTTGATAAAGGTGGTCTATAAAAGAGTCTAGAACTTTTTTATCATCATCAGAAAGTAGGAGACTTTCAGCATTTCTTGCCCATTCACTAATTGCACTGGTACCAACACCTTGTCCATTTGTACCTGACAAAAGAGAAAAATAACTATTTTCTCAATATTTCAGTAAAAACTATGAAACGATTAAGTATTATTACATGAAATGACCACACATATATCAAAACAAATGGACATACTACTCAATATACAATGACTTAGGTATAATAATAATAATAATTTCAGTCAGAGTATCTCTGGTTGCTCTATGTCACATTATTAATGAAATACCCTATATATGTAAAACTTTGTTGCCATTCTTACCAATAAGTGCCAAAAGGCTCAAGAATCCTTCATAACTCAAAAATTGTTCAATACCTTCATGAGGTACTACAGCAATAAACTTATTATGTAGAAGTGATAATTGATCAGCAAATTTGTCACCTAAAAGCTTATGGGCCAAGTCAGCATCTTCATTGACAGTTCTATGACAAAACTGGAGGGTTTGTGCAATAGCAATCTCTTTATTAGGAGCTTTCAATATCCTTGCCAAGAGGCGAACTATTAGGAATATACTGTTAGTTTCTGGAGGATAATGAACCTGTCTAAAAAATTTAATAATTGAATTTCAGTAACTAGGTATGTTAAATTGTATAAGAAATGAATTGAAACTAATTTTATTAAAACTCAGTATAACTTACTTCCAAGCTTCATTTAACTGTTCTAGAGGATGAGCACTATTTTTATCTTGTGTTTGAAGGCAAATTATACTATGGTATTGTTCTAAAGCTTGAGTTTTACATTCTTCAGAACAGTATTGTGTAAAGCAAGTAGAACATTTTGTAAATTTGCTCTTGTCAGTTGTACAACATTCTGGATATGGTAAATCTATTGGATGACCAGATAAACGACTAGCATTCTCTTGAGCAGTTTCTAGAGGCCTAGAAAAAAACATAAAATATATATTTCCATTGTTATTTAGTTGTTTTGTATTTATGAATTCCAGATCAGTAATCTGAGTTGTGATAACTACGACATAAAGACTCGAATATATATATATATATATATATATATATATATATATATATATATATATATATACCTATAAATGGTATGTAATGAAGCCCGAGAGATAAATGGGCCACTTTGGAGCCCGGCGCTTGCAAGTGGTTTAAGCGTGTATACTTTTTCTATATCGCTTTAAAATCATAGAAAACATATAGAGGGGAAAGTAGAGGGGTAAAGATTTCGAAACAGGAGTGTCCAATATAAACATTTATACCTTTGTGAAGCCCAAGAAGATATCTTTAAGACGTTAAGAAACCCACACGTATAAAAAAAGATACTAGTGAATCACAGTGAAGCCCAGCGGTGCTGCCATTTCTACTTATAGTGGTGCGTTCTATTTTTAGATTCAAGGATACTCTCAGATGATTTTTAAGTATTCTCCAGTTTTGCTCCCATCGGGCGTTTCATGGTAGTGTTTGTGCTTACAGAAATATAATACTATTTAATCTACAGCCTTTTTTGGAAGTTAGGTAGGTAATTTTTTCTACGCTCTATCTTTAACGTAACTGCATCAAATATTCATAGTAGTCAACTAAAAAATTGAGTATTCAATATTCACAATTTCGAAATAAAACTAAAATAAATAATAACTTTCCTAATATTATTGTGTAAAATTTCCAATTCATTTATTATGCATTTATTAATAGTTGTAATTTACTGAAGGAATTTAATTAAAATATTCCAAATTTATTTAATTATTTGTATATGGTTGAAGAAAAAATATGATATGCAACATATGCATGTCTTATTTTCACTTATGGAATTGCCGCACACACCTGACGGCTTGTGCGTTCAATTTTTCTGTTCGTGAAAAAAGTACCACTTTGTGCACTCGTTACATAAATTACTATTATATTTTTTTATTTCACTATAGTAGTTTAAAATATTTCAATTTGGCAATTAATATTATAATCGTAGTGTTCTTAGTTAGACACGGTCTTTTGAATTGGTGTATATATAGTATTTAAGTATCCCTTATGGTTTAGGGTTGTTCATAAGAATTTGAATAAGACATTGTCATTATTGATTGTGAACGTAATGTGTTAATACCCATAATTAACCTCTGTACCATAAAATATTGTAAAAAATGCTGGCGCAAGTAAATTTTTATTTTAATCAAGGCATCTTATCGCATAAAAAGTCTACCAATTACTATAGTGCTCGACAAAACTATTTGCTACCTTAAAATTATTTTCAATTATCTGTTCATTGATTTTCTGCGTAATAAGTATGCAGCGTCCTTTCCAGCAGATGACAACTCTTATTATTTCCTTTTCGGATTACTTATTGACAAAAGTTAATCTTATTTTCAATAACCAGACAATTTAATTCATTTTAAAAGATTTATTTAGAAATTTTACAGTTAGTTAAAGGAATAAGCCGACAGCATTAATATTTAAACCCCTTAATGGTATTTCCAATTTTTGTGAAACATATACCTGTTAAGATTTAATCCTTTTCTGTGAGTAGGGGTAGTTCTTCTACAAGAATATTTTATTCAATGAACCAGTATTAGTCTTATTTTTAATTTTGAATATTGAACATCTAATAATTTATTTAGTGATAGAGCATATTAATATTAACTACCTATTACGTAAATTTGCAGCCGGAGGTACGATCGTTTTTTTAGTCGATATTTTTTACAACTTTGAGTTATCTGACGTCTCGTTTGCAGGGGTTTTAAACTATATATTTGCAGATGAGACTTCTGATGGTCTCGCCAACCACTACACAAATTCCAGCCGGAGGTACGTTTGTACCAACTAAGTGTTTTTATTCTTTCTTGTTCATTTTAAAGCTTTTTTTCTTGTATTGTGTTATTTTCAATGATTTATTTACGTTTGTATTTTTTCCAATTTAATCTAGAAATAAATAATGTTTTAAATATGATTTTTTATTATTTATAATAAATTGCTGCTTAAGTTTATCATTTTCGAAGATAGACTATTTTTTGACATATAAATTTATCATCCTTCTTTATTTTAGAAAATGATAACCCCTGTAAAACATATTGCAGAACATAAAGTATATTAGGTATGATCGGAAATAATTAATTAAATAAAAGTGAAGATTATTAGTTGTTTTTAAACGGTGTGAGTCATGATGAAAATTCAAAGGACAAAGATGCTTAATTTTTAATTACTGTTCTATAAAAAGATCAGCCCAAAAAATCACACCATTTTTCTAAATATTATTAAATGACATGACTACTCAAATGCACCTGAAGAAAATAAGTTTAATTATTAGGGATAAACCTGCCAATTTTCACTTAAATCGGTTAAAATAGCTCTAAACTATAGATAATTAATAAAAAATAAAACAAACCATCTCTTTAACACATTGCGTCAAATATGAAAGAGCTGATATTTTTGTAAGGCAGGTAGGTTTCTATTCACGACGATGCCATTCAAATTTGAATGGACACCACAGGGTATTTTAAATGAGGTGTCTCAACTGTGGCCCCTGCCGAACATAATATACACGTTGATTATAATAAAAAAACGGAAAGATTACAGTTTGCTGGTGAAATGATCATATAATTCTTATGGTTACACAAAAAAGAGGAAAAATGTAAAAAGAAGAAAAACATTTATTTGTCTTTATTGAAACATAATAAACACATGTGGTTGTTAGTATACATCTCGCAGCAGGTGTAAACCATTTTGGCCCGATTTGGTATATATTTTGTACTGAAATAAAATGTTTATCCCTTTTTGGGGTTAACTCCTTTTTTTTGGTATTATATTGGATTTTTTTTGGTGTTTTTTATATTTAAAAGATGTGGCCTGGGACAAAAAAATACACTATCTTCACTTCTTTCATGCAAGAAATACACCATAAAAATTAAATATAATAACAAAAAAAGTAATAAAACACTAAAAAGGCATAGTTTATTTGAGTACCAAATACAGTACAGAGTAGAACGTTTAACTGGAACTCATTCTGTAAATTAAAAAAGGTTTGTTGCAAAATTCCTGAAACAAGTCAATTTTTATTTTCTATGGGGCAAAATACCAAGAGGTTTGTTAATTTTTTTAATTTTATGGGGGGTTTGCTGCGACCCCCAACTTTTTTTTATGAAAGTGTAGGTTTTTTTAATGCAAGCTTTTCAATTGCAAATACAAGAACGTATTATTTTGTTTCTTTTACAAGCAAAGTTTCGGAGAAAAAATAAAATAACAAAATGTTTTCTGAAACTATAATGCAACGAATGCAACTTTCCACTCGGTAATCAGTTTGGCCCACAGCGTTCTCTACTAACACCGTGACATGCAATGTGTTAAATAACAGTTTTATATGTATCTTTTATCAAGATATACTATGTGCGTTGCAAATCCCGACTGTATATTCTTGAAAATATATTTTACGCACGTTCTCGGACCTAGCAGTGTTGTCAGTTGTAGGGCCCGGCAACAACCTGTTTAAATGAAATTATTTTACTGTATAAATCTTATACACGAAAGCGCCCTCTACAGTCAGGTCTTCAAAACTTTTTGTATAAGTAAATGCATAAATGGTACTTTGTAAAGCCCAACGAGAAATTTTGGTAGAAGGATGTGTAGAGCAAGCGGAATCGAATGGTTGTTAAATACACGGGATTCGTTGTGAAGCCCAAGGTCGGGCTTCACAACGTCGCCTTGGGCTTCATAACGAATTAAAGATATCTTGTACGGGCCTGTATAAGAGCGTTTATAAGTCTATATATATATATATATATATATATATATATATATATATATATATATATATATATATATATATATATATATATATAATATATATATATATATATATATATATATATCTCGTTTATTTAGCAAAGCTAATAGTACATTACAAATAAATAAAATTACAAAAAATATTTATCTATATCTAAAATATAACACTAAAATATCACAGATGCTGGCTCGTTAACATATAATCTCTTAGTTTATATTTAAAGGTATTAAATGAGGCGACATTTCGGAGTTCTAAGGGTATCTCATTAAAAGCTTGAAGTCCCTTAAAAAATATTGAATTTTGGGACTGTTTACGTGCAACTTGTGGAATATGAAAATTAGATCTATTTCTTGTGTTATAGTTATGATAGTCAAAGTTGTAATTGATTTTATCAAGTAAATAAGAGGGGACCAGTCCATGTTTAATTTTATAAATGAATATTAAAGTTAAGTACAGAAAATAGTTTTTAACAGAAAGCCATTTCAAATTTTGTAACATACCTAATATACAGGGTGTCCTTTAAAATGTGTCCCAAAATTCTCAGGCAGATTCCTTAACCAAAAAATGGAAAAAAAGTTCCTATAGACCTATGTCCTAAAGTGCCCCCTAAGCGAGCAACAGCCTCCCGAAATCATTTTTTTTATTTTGATTTTTTGAATTTTCTTAAAAATGGAAACAAATAAAAGAACCAAATTATGGCTGTTAAATATGATCAATAATAGTGACCTTTTGACACCTTCAAAAAGAAATTATTTCGTCAGGGGTGTACTTGGGAATTTTTTGAAAATTTTGATTATTCATAACTTTTTTGTGTTTTTGGTAATGACTTATCCATATTTTTTTTTACATTCTACATTGAAAACTACGTCAAAAAGGAATACTTGTTTGATCTCGATTGGAGCAGCCGTTTCCGAGAAAACATCATCCAAAGATATTCGTGCAGTTTAGGTTAATTTTCAATTTTGGCTGTTGTAGCCAAAAAGTTGGAAATCGAGGAACACGGCTTACATGTCCCTATCCTTACTTTTGAAGGTCTATTCAGTGGCAAAAAATATTAGTTGATACAGGGTGATCAAAAATCGGATGTGATTTTGGATTTTCATCACCCTGTATCAAATAATATGTATTTTATGTCACTGAATAGACCTTAAAA